GGAAAGAGATAAGTAACTAGAGAGAAATAGAAGAGAGTTGAGAGGCTCAAAAAGAGGGAAAGAGATGAGAGTTAAGAGGCACAAAAAGAAGGAAAGAGATGAGAGAAAGCAACAAGAGAGAAAGAGATGAGAGTTGAGAGGCTCAAAAAAGAGGGAAAGAGATGCGAGAAAGCAACAAGAGAGAAAGAGATGAGAGTTGAGAGGCTCAAAAAAAAGAGGGAAAGAGATGCGAGAAAGCAACAAGAGAGAAAGAGATGAGAGTTGAGAGGCTCAAAAAAAAGAGGGAAAGAGATGCGAGAAAGCAACAAGAGAGAAAGAGATGAGAGTTGAGAGTCAGTTCATCAACTCGGGGTAGTGATTGACTGATGGTTTCTTCCCTGTTAGCTGACGCCGGGGCCCACAACTGACGTTTGCGGATACAAAATGAAAATATTTCTTGAGATTTTTTTTGTTTTACTGGATATTTTTCTATATTCATTTATATTTTCTGATATTTATGTTATCTCGTGTTATTTTTCGATTTCTAGTCATGATTCGCTTCTGCCTTTCTTAGAAAATAATATCATAAGAATGTCATATGATGAAAAGCTGTTATGAGCATTTTCCTGATATATTTCTTGTAAATAAGATTTTTATATTAATTGAGAGTAAATTAAGTCAACAATAAGTCATGATTATAAATGAAAATTAATAATTTTCAAGTGATTTTATTCGAGAATCTAATGTAACCTGGTGAAATTCGATTCGTTCAACTCGACAAAAATGCCCAACGGTATAAAAAAAATAATATGTCAAATGAGGAGACTCAAAGCAAAATAGTGAGAAGTAAAGGATTAAAAATTAACTCCATGAAATTTTAATGCGTAAGTTAAAATCCGTCTTAATTAAATGTAGAGAAGACCACAAAAAAATACGAATGTTGAAGAGTCGCCGAGGCAACTTAACACGATCGACGGCAACGTAAACGTAAAGAAAAAATGTAGACAAAACATGAAGAAGGCGATGAGAAGAAAACGGCGCAACGCCCCCTCCAACTCCCCAGGGAACGACGCAGGCTTCCTGGTAAACAGATCAGCGGTAAAACGCACCGAAAACAAAGAAAAACGCTTTTTTGAAATAACTAAAAAAATTATCTAAAATATATCAATCGGTTCCGGGAAACAATTTGCTAATGACGGTTTTTTTCTCGTATAAACATCATTTGATGCACAGAATCATACCTTATGTTATATTATAGAGAATATTGTAGACGATGCTTCTAAACTTCTCTTGCAACTCCTCAATATCAAACGAAGCCGTATGGAAATAACACAGCATTTAATAATGATATTTACTGAACAGACTCATAATATCTGCAAATTCGCCTGCTCGACTGGTGAACTCAGCGCCAAGCGAATTCTTTTCTTGTGCATCATTGAAATAAACATTGCACGGATCTCACATTCATTTGATTCAAATGAATATGATTAGCATATAAAAAAGTATCAGTTGGCTATTTCGATACTGTTTATGTGAATAATACAGGCGAACGCTTAATCATATGTGAGAAATCTCTAAGTGAACAACGTTTCTAAGTGAACAATATTTCACATTCGTTAATTCTATTAGTGAACCATTCCTCACGAACCAAATATGTCCCTGTATATCTCATTTCCTGCACTCGTATTCGATTAACCAGTAATGTTACAGACCAGGTCTAGTCTGGTGTGTTTGTGAGCGTGTTTGCCCTGTTTGAGGGATGTCTCCAAGAACAAATGATTGTTGAGTCCTAATAGATTCGTAGACACGGAACTGGCGGTCATCCCAGCCGACAGCACGATTCCGTGTGCGTTCTGTGGTATATAGGCCTATATAGGACCGGCCAGAATACCTTTTGTGTCCAGCCATGAAAACGGATAAAGATGGTCCCTGTATGCAGTTGAATCATTCATAGGTTCATGGCGGTCCACAAATTAAGTGAAGCTCTCGGAAATACTGAAGTCAAACATGTCGAACGATTCATAGACTTATTACGACTCTAAAACTAATTCATGATTGGTGAATATTTTCTTTGTGAATTTTCAAATACTTATGCAAGTATCCAAGCTGTATAAAGAGCTCGTGTCAAAGAAGCCCTAAACGTTTGAATAATTTCATTGCAATGACAGCATTCCTTTTATTATTTGTATTTTCGATGGAATATATTGAAGGAAATTGAACCTATAAAGTTTTCATGTTTTTCTTAAGAATACTTCGAGCCTGTCAAATTGTTCACTTGTTTCATCTATGTTTGTCTCCCAATAAAAGTTGATTTATTTGTTCTTGAACGAAAGAAATTATACTTATTCGAGTCCATCGAACAATATTAGGTATTAATGAAGGTACCACTACCACTATAGTATGTTACACAAAAAATAGATAGGTATAGATTTGATCAACATTTTACTCTGAGAGGATCAACATTTTACTCTGCGCGTGTAGATGGAACATTGACCAGCAAATAACACAGTTCAGTCCCATGTAACTGTGACGAAATTCGTGACTATACCTAATGCTGTACGATCGTTACAAATGCGAAGTTCCAAGGTCAGAATGTGATCGAAGAAATTGTTATTGGAGTTCAATGCAGTGGTTATCATGGCGTCCAAATGACTTGGTGAAAACTGCAATCAAAGAAATCTAGAAACTTTATTAATCAAGATCGTGTATTCAAATATTCAACTAGCTAGCAGAGGACACGCTTTCTTTGTTATGTGTGGTCGATGAACAGCTGTACTGCCTATCTAATAATTTCTGATAAAACTTCAGCGTCAGTTAATTATATATCGTGCACGCGATAATATACTCTGTTTTTATCGTAATAAAATCACTAATTAAGTAATATTGTTTAATTAGTGGGGCCAGATATTTGGAGGTATTGTGTTATGTTTAAAAAAATCAACACAATTCAACGAAATCACTTTTAAAATGGAAAATAAGTGATATTAAAATTATGATATAAGGATTAATTTCTTAATTATATTGACCTAATAAAACTAATCTACAAATATTTAGTACGACGTATGAAAATGCAATTTTTTAATTGAGAAAAACATCGAAACATTGGACTTCGACTTATACAATCGCTGTCTCCTTTGCTAGTATAATTAACACTAATTAATGTTTCTGAATGTCTCCCACTAATTAAATTATAATCATTTGTCAAGTTTAAATTTATGTTTTTACAACCAACATTTTTGCTGCTCATGGATATTTACAAGCTATATTTTCAGTTCATTGTTATCCGAATACCTCACAAAAATAATGTTCTCATAACAACTTGAATTTCACAGCAAAGAATAAATTAGGAACGACATCCCGCTTTAAGGCTGTACGTTCTTCACCACCGAGTTGATCGCTTAAATAATATTTAATATTCAACACAGGTAAAATTTTAATCATCCACTTGCCGTGACCTCAATCAAAACTTTTGATCCACACTTCATCGGACACTTATGATACAATTCATATGTCAAAGACTTTAAATAAAGTTCTTTCTGGTTTGGGTTCAGTTAGATGAGCTCCTAAAACAACTAAGTTGAAATATCCAAAATATTTTGTTCAGCATTCAACTCATGTGCTGTGGTCATGCATATTGCGCAGCAAATGTCAAGAAAAAAAATTTTTCACTCGCAAAAAATTAAAATGAAAATTAATTTTAAAACGTAATTCCTTAACGAAGACTTTTAAAAAACTTCAAAATATTTTTAACGACTTAATTAATAGCTGTTATGCGTTTGAGATCAACGGGATATGCAGCAACGATTCAATCTAGCTGCAGGAACAGTTCTCCAATTTTTTAAATATGATTTACGTTATTATTTTAGCAGTCAAATCCAGCTATCTTGATCTGAGAACCAATACTACCTTCACTTTCCTAATAATTGGATGTTAACCACCTTAAATCGCATTTTTCCGTCAATTTATCTCCAAAACTTGAATCAAATCTTAAATCGATTGACGCTTGTCATTTGCACTAATCGATCTAAGTAACTTAGATATCTCGTTATTTAATCACCAATAATCTAGATAGATCAATTCCTGCACTCCGAGCAACTCTGTATAAGAAATCACCCCGTATGCCACAACATGTACACCAATCTATGTAAATTAGCCGGGCCCCAATTACCCCTACAAACGCAGTCAATACTTCTGCCACTGTGCAAACTTCCCGTGATACCAGAGACCGGTGAGTCGATGTCAAATGAACATAAGCTTAACTTTATGTCCAAAGACATGCATCAATACATAGATAAGATCAAACGAATTTGCCGATGGTAATATTAAGATGTTGACCGGATGATTAGAGACGGAAAATCGATATATTTGTTAGATATTGAACGGTTAGGTACGCTGCTGATACTCATTATTGAAGACCGGTACATGTATATGTGTTTCGCAACAATTTAATGTAAATCTAATGAAAATAATAACAAAAGTTCTGCTACTAATTATTGAGATACTGTACGTTTTGAGTTGAATTGAATTAATTAATTATTAATTGATATAATTTAAAGAAATGAAAACAAAATGGGAAATTTGCCTTATCAGGAAATTCTCTTCACCTTAAATAGTTCATATCATCGTCTCAAAAATGAACTGAGTTTGTGAAATCATCATGCAAACCATGCATGTTGAAGAACAAAAGAATTATCTGTTTAATTTCCAAAGATTCAACAACATGAGTTATCGTTTTCCAGTTTATTTTCAAATTATTTTTCCATGCAGAAGCCGTTTGAAAATATCAGGAACGAATTGTAAAAAGTACAACAATTACTTAAAAGCACTGAAAAATTATTATTAAATTTGTTTGATAATGAAAACCGAAAAATGAAACCTTAACATAATTGTTACATTGAAAGCCTATACCGTAATAAATAAAGTGTAACGGTACTTGACTCAATGGGGATATAAATAGTGAATTAAAATAAATGTCTAATATCACGCAAATATTTCTTCTAGATAAGGAACTTAAGACTCACCTACACTCGTGGATGCAACGCCAACTTGAAGTAATGAAGTCATGTTATGTGTCTTCAATAGATTTTCTTCATACAGTGCAGTCCATCATTAAATTAAATCAAACAAGATTTTAATTGGCAATACAGCTGGCTCAGCAATTAATAGCACCAGTTTATTTTCGATTGCATGAAAAGACAAGAATTTCTTGCTGAAATTCGCTGCTCCAACTTGTTTAAAATATTTTTGGGGCAATTACGGACCAGCTCAGGTAGAGGTACGACTTTGATTTGCATCACTGAACGCCAACTTAAATTTCTTGTTAAGTTCGCTTAAGTTTTTTATTTGACACTTGATGTCGTTTGGCACATAAGTTACAATATCACAATACTGTTCAATTCATAGTCAATTATATAGCATCAAAGTAGACCCTAAACAACCTTGTCTCTCACTTTTTAAAAAAAGGTAACTTTCATTGCATATGCCGGGCATCAGATCTAAAATCAAACGTGTTCATCATTCGCATCCGAATTCGTCCGATGGAAACTCTAGGAACTGTAAGTATTAAGTTATGAAAAGTTTAGGAACTTATTCTGTTATCAACAAAATATTCATTCAATTATTTTAATGTTTAATTTAAACGTAGATAAATATGAAATTCGCTTCATAAGCATAAAAATTCAGTTCAAAGTGACAAATAATTTTGTTTTCAAAACAATAGTCCAAATCCTGCAACAAGCGTAAATGTTCATTCTATAATTTATTCTTAATTCTGAAGAATGCATCTAATTCCTGTAAATATCTCCGATTTTCTGTTCAAAAGCAAGAGTTCCAGAGTGAAACGTGCGGCAAGGAGCAGCACATATCTCCTAATAACTAACGTCGCGTATGATCCAGCACAGAGCAAAACTATCCTCACTCGCTAGACAATATTGACGCCCGCTTATGTTAGAATCTAAGATCATGGCTTAGGGTTCACGTTATGCTCAGTGTCAGTATTCTAGTCACGTTCGGCCACAATCCTGCTGGTACCAGACTAGGACTGGAGACGGTCAAGTTTTGGACTGAACGTGCGGCACCGACAGGGCGTGTACAGCACAGACGAGGGCGGTGCAAAAGGCGGACCGCGGCACAAGCTATGCGTTCCGCACTCGGGAATATAGCAGCCTGGGAGGGCTTCAAAGCTAGACAAGGTGGCCTTTCATACAATAGGGAGTAAACCTATAGCAGGAGGAGTCATCCTCGCTGAAAAAGGCAAGTTTCTTAAATGAAGTTATTGCGAATTACGCATATTGTTTATCACTAGGTGTGTGCGCCTTACATCTCGAGACCAGTCTCACCCTAGACCATCAGCATTGATTAAACACGGAGCATATCATGTACAGGCGCAACTCCACGCCCAATTCACCGTGTGATCTGCTCGAGGTTGCGTGCTCGATTTAGCAATCACACCACAGCATCCGTTATTGCTGGCAGGGAAGGTGCGCTTCGGCACCTAGGATGCTCGGTATACTATGAAGAAAGTAGTTTTAGGGATTGAAATATTGAAACATTTTTTGGTATACTATGCGTTGAAATTTCAACGAATATTGGGATTTAACTGTATATGTAATTGAATTATGTAATGTAATGATGTAATTAAATTGAAAATTGAGGTTACTCAGTTAGACATAGAGAGTTCATGATTAGAACTTTAGAAGTTGACTAAATTATTCCTGGTAGTAGATATTTACGTTGATGAAGATACTATGCATATTTTCAGCAAATTCAATTCCGATTTACTAACGTTTCTGTTCATTTAATTCTGTCTCAAGTCATGATTATAAAATTCGGTCTTAAATTTATTCTGATCTCCTTATAGCCTTCGATTATTGTACGTTATTTTGAATTTTACTACACCCCTATATTGATATCTAAAATATATACTTTACATTAATCTTTTCTTCAATATTCATAACGAAGTCATTGAGAAAACGAACGATGAACGCATCAAGGCTGCGTTTGTAAGGATTAACAAAATTGTTACTGGAGAGGCTGAATGCAAATTTGTTTTACTGAAAATATTCATTTTATTGAAGGTGAGTTCAAAAACATCAAAAGTAAGCGTTTAACAGTAACCCCCAAATCACTTGTTCTCCCAACGTCCTTTACTGTAATAAACGTAGACATTGTACATTACGATCAACTTTTTGTGTAGCACCAAATGTATTGCATTAATCTAGGTTTTATTGAAGTCGTAACCTACAGAACGTTTTCGTAACTCAGGCGTAGTTCATAATCGCTTTCGTACGCGGTGAGGTTGTGATGAACCGCATGATCCGGAAAGTAAGTTGCATCACAGCCGGAGCTTGCGTTTCGAAATCTTTACCTGACATGAAGCTTAGAGATTTGCATCTGAACACACGAACGCTGCCAGAGGATGCGGAAGGAAAACAAACTGTCCTTTTTACGACATGAATTTCAGGAGTGTTGCTCGGTAGGTCTGACATAGACCCTACGTATATGTGGGCCGGGAGGGGCTTTCACAAGAGGCTGGGCCCAATAGGAAGCTTCGTTGCAACGGAGTTTGGGTCGAGAAGCATCTTCGGGGGAAAGGAATTTATTAGGGTATTTTGGGAGCGAAAGAAAAGTCAGGGAGCAAGTTTGAAATTTACGGGGAAGATTTTATTCCCTATGGAGGGAGTCACTGCCAAGCACAGTAAAGAATCACCGATAAAGAACAGGCAGGGAGCGCCGAACGGAATCTCCGGTAAGTTAATATTTGAATTTATCATTATGAATATTAGATCATTTCCCGACACTAATTGACATCCTTGTCATGCAGACTGCATTCTAGTCACTTTTGTGTTTTTGAAAAGCCGCTTATTGTCTCGTGCTATTTTCTTCCGTGTTGCCAAAAATTAAAACACAAAATTTAATGCACGAGCAATTCGTTCCCCTAAAGATGAATTTGAATGCAAGTTATTGCGTCAATGGAATTATTGTATTCCTGCGACTTTTTTAGTCACCCAGCGACGCTTCACGGCACATGACACGTGTCGGGTCCGTTGCATTGTATGCAAATTTCGTCTGTAGGCGCATCGCTTTCTTATAGGCCTACCTTGAAATCAAATTACCACAGTATTATTCAGACGGAGAGCGCACACGGCGCTAAAATATTAGAATAAGATTGAGTTAAGCGTGTGGTGCGTAGTCCAGGTAGACAAGTAGTTTAAAGGATCGTGGAAGGTAGTGTTTTAAATGAGCATGTCGACAAATTGAAATTTTCTCGAATTTCGATTAACAGATCATCTCAATACATAGGAATTTACAAGGACGACGTGCTCACTAAATTTCAACTTGTTAGAACTACATTTAGCAATAAATTTATGAGTGGTCTTCTGTGTAATTTAAATTGTATATAATTTAAATAACACATCTGGGTAATTTCTATTGTATATAGCAACTTATTGTAAGATTAATGTAGGGAATCTTCAAAAAATTGTGCACTGCACGATCACTATCAACATTTATACTATTTCAGGCCATATAATTAGTATTGCTTCACACGAATGCGCTTTAATGAGCTAAATTCGAAACAATCAGTGCAGTTTTCAGCCACGTATATGTACTAAATTACGACTCGTTTTGGTCAAAGTGCAGTCCGGCAGAAAATGTTATAGAAGATTTGTTTCAATATTTGTATAGCAAGCACCTGTTTAATTAGGCCATATATAGTCTCATGATATCTATTTTCTCTGATTCTTTTGGTTCATCTTCTCGCGTTTCCCTTATAAACTCATCGAACACTATATTCGTTCCTCGTAATTTTCTTGAAGCATTCATGCCACATGTTTCTCTTGAAGCACTCATGCCACATGTTTCTCTTGAAGCACTCGTCACCATTCATGCCACATGTTTCTCTTGAAGCACTCGTCACCATTCATGCCACATGTTTCTCTTGAAGCACTGTTCACCATTCATACCTCATATATATAGCAGGGGTACTCCCTATATAGTTTTATAGTAAACCTATATGCATGGGGTTTACTTCCTATATAGTTTCTCTATAGCTAGTAAACCTTAAGATTTTCAACTAATATGCGGCACTTAACAGTAGTTAAAATGGCTCATACTTACGCAGGCATTAATTAGTCTGTTGCAAAAGATCCTGAAGTGCCATAGATCGATTTCATATATAGCTTCTACAATAAATATATTTAATTCGGAATTATCTGTTAATTCTTCAATTTTTCCATCTCATTCTCATTCGTGACCATAAATGTCTCTGCTTTTTTTAATGATTGATTATGTTGACATAATACATTCATCATCTCTGTGGACTGTGTTGATATTTCGGCGTCCCGAGGCCCACTCGAAAATGTTCAAAATTTATTTTGTTGTTTTCTTTGCATTTAAATTCTTGGCGAACTTGCGACTTGAGCAGGCTAATTAATGATATAAGTTCTTCAATACATTATTCAATAATTCGAATGAAATCAAGTCAACTTAGAAACAATCGTAACAATTTTGAATGCCGATTATTCTCATTGTCTTTATCATGAACGAACTCTACCCGTTATCAAGCACGCACGAAAACCTATTGTGCGTGTGCAATCGCCATGCAGTTTCTTATGTGGAGTTCAACTTTAGTAGGTCATCTGCCACAGTGCATTGCCTTTTTCTTGCAGCGTCTTGTTCTATAAAGTCATATTCACTGCTGAAGAATTTATTTTAGTAATAATACAAGAAATAAATCTTGGATCCGTGCTAAACTTTGATGAATCATCTACCTCAGTGCATTTTTTATTCCAATGTTTCGATCTAAGCCACATGCAATGATACCGAATTCATATTCTGAGTAATACACAAAATACATCCTGTGTCGTATTCAACTTTGGACATTCACATGTCACAGTGCATTGCACTTTTCCTCCTGTATCTCAACCTATAAATCACGTCCACCCGCTGAATAATTCATATTCTGAGTAATACGCAAAATAAGTCCTGTGTTCGTGTTCAACTTTGTCGAGGCGCCTGTCATTGTGATTACATTTTTCTTTGAGTAGTTTGATCAAGTTCTTACACAAGGAGTTATAGAGGAATACTTCCCCCGCGATCACATTTGTCAACGCAAAATGGTACGGTACTCTAAAACTTCAGCCGAATTCCAAATGGACTCACAGCAACTTTTCGCGAAAACTTTCAAACTGATGTCACTTGATCGACAAGTAGGTGCACGTCAACGTACAAATACATCAAGAATAGCTTAAGTTGATAATGTCTTGCCACGGGTAACAGGTATAATTTATTAGAATTTGGTAAATAATATGTGGAATGCAAAAAATGTTAAATATATCAGTACGTTCAGACCGGCTTGGAGTTTGGAATAATCATCGCGAACGAAATGTGGCGCATTTACTTCCAATAACCTAACTAAATGCATAAACAAATTTTTCTGATTGGAAACATTTGAGGAGCTTAACATCAACAAATTAGAAAATAGGCTTTTAAAAAATTCGGACGACTTAATTTGTAGTCATCGCTATGAGTTTCTTATAAAACTCCCATTAGTTTACATGTAGAAATTCAGAATTGCTTTTCA